GTCTCGGAGCTGCAGAGGGAACCGCCCGAGGCTCTCGAAGTCGAAGTGGAGGAGGTCGTCGAGGAGGAGGTGGAGGAAGACGGCTTCGTCGACGACGGCGTGGAGGATGTCGAGCCCAGCGGGTGCATCTCCGCACCCGTTGGGCGCGCGGGGCTGGGGCGCACTCCGCCGCCGAGGACCCTAGGCCCTAGCGCGGCCATCCCAGATCATGTTGGCGATCCGCAATCTACGGCGTGCACTGACCCACCTGACTGCGCGACGGATAGTCGCGTTCCTGGCTCGACCTCTCTGCGCCTGGATCTGGCGGAAGAAGGAGGACGCGGGGGCAGCGGCGCCACGGGCACCGAAGCCGACGTCGGCAACGATGGCCCAACCGAGGGCGGCAGGAGGCCTCGCGGGGGCCATTGCGTCGCTTCCGCACCCACAGGGCTCGCGAGGCCCCTGCCTTCTTCGCCGCCAGCCTTGCAGGAACGACCATCCCAGGTCATGATGCGGGGAATCTCAGGCACCGGCGCGCGCGGATCCACCTGTCCGCGCGGCGGTTCGCCGCGATCTTAGTGCGACGAGCGTCAAGGGCACGGGGCGCGCCTTGGGCTGGACCCGCGGAAAGCGCTCCTGAGGGCCACGGAAGATTCCCAAGTGCCCAGAGCGATGGGATCGTCGGCACCACCACCCCTTCGGCGCCCGCGATGCCCAGGTCCACCCTGCCGCCGCTACTTCTGGAACCCAGCGTGGCTATCCCAGGTCATGATGGGGAACCGCAAGTGCCAGCGCGCGTTGATCCACTTGTCCGCGCGACGGCGAGTCGCGCCCTCGGCGCCCGCCTGGAAGAGAGCGAAGGCGGCCTTAGACAAGCCCGCCAGGCGAAGGAGGGCGCCTGCGAGGGGCAAGCCCGGCGGGGCGGAGCAGCGGACGCGGGGCGCAGCCCCGGCGTGCTGCGCGGAGATGGAGGCGCCGACTGCCCGAGCCCCCACCCCGCCGAGCACGGCCAGGCCGCGGCCCCTCTGCGCGGCGCGCCCGAGAAGAGGACTGGCCCGGGCGACCGAGTGGACCTGGGCGGGGGGGGGGGGGCGGGGCAGCCTGGTCGATCGGCCGACGATGGCGCCCAGATCGACCTTGACCGATCACTCGCTCACAGTCCTGGGGCCTCTCCCTCTCCCAATGACGCCATGGAGGCATGGGCCACTTCGATGGGCACGGCAGCGACAGCGGCATTGCTTTCGGCGAGGGAGGTCGGGGGCAACGCGGCGGACGAGGGCGCGGAGGGCACCCCGCCCCCGAGCGCCAGGGCCGACCCATCCATCATGAGCGGCGCAGACCCACACGGAACACGGAACCCCGCTGCCCGGGAGCGGCGCAGACCCAAGCGGACCCCAGCCGACCCCGTCGGCTGCCGTGGCCTTGAGCCACCCAATCCCTGACCCAGAGGCGTTCGAGGCTGAGCTGGATGCGATGCCTGACGGCGACGGACTGGACGTCGCCGAGCTCGACGCGCCGGCGGCCCGCCGGTCGGCTGCAAAAAGTCGCATCGCCCCTTTCGCGGCCCCCGGCGCCGGTGCGCAACGGGCGCGACCGACGCGCGGGGCGGGCCGCTGCGGGCGCCGCGCAGGCGGAAGCCCGCCCCCCTGCACCGCGGGCCCGCGGCCTTGCTGGGCGAACCAAGTGGGCGACGACGATGTCGGACCCGACGCGCCTGGACCCGCCGCCCTATCCAACGCCGCAGCCGACGCCCAGCCTCGCACCCCCCCCCGACGCCCCCCCCCCGCCCGGCGCCACCCGCGATGACGCCTCTCACGGCACCCCCCCCGACATTTTCCCCGACGCCCTCCCCCGCGCCCTGCCCGCCGACCGCCCCGACGCCCCCGACGGCGCCTTGCCGCCCAGTTTGGTCGTCGCGCGGCGCCCGAAGATCTTCACGGCCCGCCGCATCATCGGCTCAAGCCGACGAATGGGTCGCCACGGATACGCACGCACACGCGAGCCCCCTGCCCGCTCCCGAGGAGCCCCGCAGTTCCCTGGCAGCGACGGCCACGGGCGGCCCCCTCGCCGCCGGCAGCTACAGCGCCGGCCCGCGAGGGGGAGTTCCTCGGCCAACACGGCTCGAGCCCCTGCAACTCGTCAACGACACCTGGGCCGCGTTGCCAGTCACCCGCGCCCACTGGGACTCGTGCACCTCGGACAATTGGAAGCAGGGCGCACGGTGGGCGCGCCCCGACGATGGATGCCCCCACTCGCACCCTGCTCGACTTCCCGAGCTCGATGGGGGCCCTTGTGGCCAGGGCCAGGCAGGCGCAGCAGACGGGGAGGTTAAGCGGGGCGGCCTGGCATAGATTCTGCTCGGCGCAGAGGTCACACCCGCGACCCCAGCTGGCACGGCGCCACTCTCCTGCGACGCTTCCTCTACCAGTGAGCCGATGTGAGCCACCCATGCGCCGCTGCTCCAGGGCAGGGGCCCCGCG